ATGTGATTGTTACAGATGGTGACATGCCAGAACCAGATACAAAGTCACCAGTATTCCAAATAAATGCATTTTCCATATTTTTTGTTAGGATAGCATCACTTAAGTCATAAGAGAATGACTTTTTGAGGCTTTGTGAGGCCCCTAACATTTACCCCCTACTAAGTATGACTTGTAGGTTTGGTTTAAAGCACCACTTCAGGACCTAATTAGTAAACATGACTCTTGAAGGAGGAAGAATAGGCTGGCAGGGTTTCACCTAAAGTTACCACAACTTGATATGTACAATAAGAAATCCATGCTTTATTAAGACCAGCTATACACTGTCAGATGTTTCATCCATGACATTAGAACTTAAGTTTTCAGCTGTTGTGTATGGGCCATAGGGGGTACTTAACAGGGGGTAATTATGGGGGGGGGCACATCTGCTACCTTAAATACAGTAAAACCATCATATAGTATAAAGCTAATGCAAGTTATAAATCATGTACAGTACAGACCTGATGATGTGGTTTTAGTTGCTTATTGGAAAACATGTATCCACAGTTAGATGCTATTGGTAATAAGGTACACTTCCTAAAGCCAACCTGAGAGGTTTCCACACAATGCTGCCACTAATAGCATCCAATGTACTGTGTAAGGTGCTCTAGGCTGGGTTGACTCCCCGTAGCAGCAATGCAAACCATCATGTAAATCTGCATAAACCAGTTGCCAATGCCACCATTTTAGTTTGTGACAGACTTCATATATGTCACATATACGCATTGAGTGTAGTCAGCATATGCAATGTCATGTGACCTACCCCTTGTTTAGAATCCTGCATAACAGGCCAGGTAGCATGACCGCCGGACCGGACGTTTGCAAAACTGGGTGTATAGCTTCTGCATAGAAACCAATCAGCTTTCAGGTTTTTTGAGAAAGCTTAATTGAACAAGCTGATGTTAAAAACTGATTGGCTACTATGCAGAACTGCACCAGAATTTGCACTCTCCAGTATTAGTAAATCAGCCCCTGTATATGTGCGGTTTGGTGCTCTGCCATTCCTTGAATCTAAAGGCATATATACCGTATGTTGTAGTGCACCACAATGCTCACATAAAAAAAACAAAACAAAAAAAAAAAAAACAGAACAGGACATTTTTTGTAATTAGCTGCATTCATGATCCATTTAAAATAAATGGACTGCCAAATGCAATATGAATGTTGAAGCATTATTGGCCCTTTCAGATGCACTTTAAATACTTGCCAATCACCCTATATCAGTTTTGCTATAGGGTGGCAACTCTGCAGAATCACAATATATATATATATATATATATATATATATATATATATATATATATATATATATATATATATATATATATATATGTGATTCTGCACTTCCTGTAGGGGGAATGTGCCACTTCTGTTGTGATTTGTCACAGCAGATGCCGATCAATGAGTGCCAGCCAATCGATGAACACCAGCACCCAATGAGCAGCAAGGAGAAACACTGGACAAAGCTCCGCATATGCAAACAATGCAGAGCTCCAACCTGTCACCAGGGATGTGCTGGATTTAGTTTCCATGCAAAGCAGGGGATAAAATCCAGCATATCCCTTAGTAAAAACACATAAAAATAAACAACAAGAAAACACTGGTTAGGCACAGAGTTAACCCTTTGATCACCCTAGATTTTAACCCCTTCCCAGCCAGTGTCATTAGTACAGAGACAGTGTATATTTTTATCACTGATCACTGTATTAGAATCACTGGTTCCCACAAAGTGTCAGGGTCAGATTGTCCGCTGCAATATCACAGTCCCGCTATAAGTCGATGATCGCTGCCATTACCAGTATAGAAATAAATAAATAATCCAGCATATCTCCCATAGTTTGTAGACGCTTTAACTTTTGCACAAACCAATCAATATACACTTATTGGGAATTTTTTTTACCAAAGATATGTAGCAGAATACACATTGGCCTAAATTTATGAAGAAATGAAATTTTTTTATTGGATATGTTTTATAGCAGAAAGTAAAAAAATACAGATTTTTTTTTTTTCTTTTTCAAAATTGACGTTTGTTTTTTGTTTATAGCACAAGAAATAAAACACCCATTGGTGATCAAATACCACCAAAAGAAAGCTCTATTTGTGGAGGGAAAAAAAATACATACATTTAATTTATATACAGTGTTGCATGACCACGCAATTGTCAGTTAAAATAATGCAGTGCCATATAGCAAAAAAAAGCCTGATCAGGAAAGAGGAACATTTTGAGGTCAGGTGGAGGTACTTCACTTGCAGTTACCCACTCCAGGGAATTCTTACCAAACATTGTTTTTTATGAAGGCATATATACTTAACAATTCTAATAAAATGGAGAACTGCTATATTGGAACATATGGCAACTGCCTATTATGACTATGATGGTCTGTATTGCATGTTTAAACTTTGGTGCAAATGAGTTTTCGCCCAACTGCAGTTTTGCTGAGTTGGTGAAACATAGATATGCACACATGCTTAAAAATCCCTGTGACTGAAGGTAAGGACATTCACTGCATACAAACTAGCGTTTTGCTTACTTGTTACTCCGTATACCGCATGCATATTAGCACTGATCCTCGGATTGCTTACTCAGCTAAATAAAAAGGGCAGCCTAACAAGTTAAATTAGGTTTTATGTTTTCTTTGCTATTACGCTCTTACTTTTCTCAGGGAGCAGAATTAAATGTTGATTGTTTGAATCTAAATCACATATTCATGGATAAAACTGCAGCTGTTTGTTGCTAAAGAGTTCTTTAATCTTAAGCAACAAAGGGTTAAAAGTGCAAATAGGACAAGCACCATCAGTTCATAAGTCCAGAATAAAATCTATTTTGTCCTGTTGGTAGTCTCCAAAGTCACACTTGTGGCAATCATTCCAAAGTTAGAAGCAACCTAGCAGAAACGGAGAAAGGGGGCGCCAACTAAGTTTATTAAAAGACAATTGGCTACTCACTCAGTATAATTTGTAATAAAACACACCTGAGCTAGGAGCCGCAGCCTCTCCTATTACTGCATCATCCTGCTGTTGCAGCCGTCGGTTCTGTGTGGTAGGCTGACGGACTCTGTGAACCGAGACTAGAAGTGCCAGTAACCATTGTGGGTCGCAGGGGCAGAAGATATCTATATGCTGGGATGTTCCTGTGGGCGTGGTTACATGTTTTCGATTTTCCTTCTCCTTTCTTAGGCCAAAATGTAAATGTAATATAACTGACATTTAAGACTGATGCAGGGTGGCCAATTCTAAATGTGATATGTACTAACTATAGCATAAGGGCTTGAACTGAAATCTATTAAAGCATGGTAGAACAGAGTAGAATGGCCATAAAATACGCTAGGGCATCATTCTTAAGAAAGAATTTGAGTTTGTAGAATGGTGGCAATGTGAATGTTAACATTTGAGGGAGGACACAGCACATGGCTTATTTGCTACGGGTGTTGGCTCAGTTTTTTAGAGTATGGGTGTGCAAGAAGAAAAAGCCCTAAGGGTTGTTCACAAGTACATGTAAGCATCACATGCTGTGTAGGGATAATATTCAGGAAGCAGGTTAAAACCAAGGGGTACAACATAGAGTTACACTTTTCAGTACCATTGCACACCGCAGCCCACCCTTTCGATCTATGCCCAACAAGAAACTCACAGCCAGGAGTGGACTGACAACTCATGGGGCCCCCGGGCAATAGGGGATCATGGGGCCCCTGTGTCCTTGCCCACACTCAAAGCACACCTAAAAAAGGTAACGGGCATTTCATGGGGCCCCCTACTAACCCTGGGCCCTCGGGCAGTGCCCGAGTGTTCGAATGGTCAGTCCGCCCCTGGTCACAGCCATCCTTTCAGAGAGACATAAAATGTTTCTGAGCATGTCTCATTCATTGTTAAACTACTTCTGATGGGCTTGGATGAGGATCTCTTCTTCCTCTGAGGTGCCGAGCTCCCTCCTTTCCTAATTGTCATTTCCCTTCTAACATCTACACCTACCTTACCCCCACCCTTTTTCTTTTTCATATCTTCTCTTTTCCCCTTACTATCTAACTATCCCCATAACGTACCCTTTCAAGCTCTATAGAAGTAGACCATCTGCCTTCCATTTCCTCGACTTGATACCTCCACAACTACATTAACTCAATAAATACAGTCAAACCAACCAAGGTTGAAGGCTGATTATTATTATTATTATTATACAGGATTTATATAGCGCCAACAGTTTGCTCAGCCCTTTACAATATAGCTACAATATTTGTCATTAATATACCATTAATGTACAACCTAAAAATTATTATTTTAAGGTTTCCAACTTTGCATTTCAAACAACATGTTCTGTGTTTCCTATACACAACTCCCATATTCTCTTATTGTTTGGAAAATCAACAATAACTTGTAAAAGCATATATGGTGCACATGTTAGAACTGTTCCCGCTGTGCGTCTTTAAGGAGGTAAATACTACTACTGATCTACTACTGGTCTACTGAAATATGATGATATAGTTGGCACACACGAGCAAAGGATCTGATTGTTTCTATTCTAATATTACAGTAAAATAATTTATACACTGTGTATTAGGAGAACTCTTTGAGAAACCCGTAGCATTATTTCTTTGCATATGCGGGACATAAGAGAAGCATTTAACAACATGACAATATTTAGGCCCCATAAATATGTAAGTTATTAGCACGGGTCACCCAACATGTACAGAGCTATTGGAAAATAGCGTTGCACATAGAGTTATGTATGTAACTATACTGTATAAGTTTCAGGTATCTTACCTGGCTTCTAAAATTGGTTCAATATAGCTGTTAAGGAGAATTTGCACTTTTACACTGAAGCTGTAGAGGCCTGAAGAAGAACAAGTTAAAGTGTTAGTTAGTTTTGGATAGAATGGAGAGGTATTACAACACCTGTCTGGTTTTTATTGCTGTCTGTGTCCCTGTTAGGGAGATTTGCCCTCTCTATTTGTCCTTGTGGCCATTACCACTGAGAGTGAAAGAAAATCCCAAATTTTAGGTTGTCACCATAGCAGGAACAGAGAGGAAACCTTCCATTTGGGGAATTCGTTTTAGTAGCCCATGAATTCCCTCACATTTGAAAAAAAAATTCCTCTCCCTTCCTGTTTTGGCTACAAAACAGAAAGTCAAGGAAAACCTCCCCAATAGGACACAGATGGCGAAAAAAAAACTGACAGGGGTTGTAACCCTTCCTTAATCTACCCAAAAAGGAAAAAAAAAAACAGTTTTGTATTTTGTTCTCCCCCAGGAACATCTGCTGTTCCTGATTTGTTTGTTATGGTATAATGATGAGCTTTTTTTGTTCTAGTGGACCTAGTCTAACTTATTATTATCATGATGCAAAAATTACATAGCACCAATAGTTTGCATAGTGCTTTACAAAACAAAGGGGGACAATATTGTTATAATAATACAATTCAATGCAAGAAAGTATAAATGGCCCCTTTTTTACTATTAAATCAGCACAGGACTAGTGATGCAACTTTGCCTCATGATGCCCACATAGTTTAGTCTCTTAAGAAGTATGCAAACACAAAGATAGAGATACCTGCTTTATGGGAAGTTTCATCTGCTGACCAGTGGGTTTAATATTGTTCTAGATACAGTAACTGATGAATCACAGAAACCAATAAGATTCTGTTTTTATATAAATATGCTGGCTCAGTATAAATTGGTTAGCTTGTAGTAGACTGTCATTTGGTGTCACTTTGGATGGTCATAGAATGGCCACAAGTGCTGTAACATCCCCTACAGTGTGTGCTTACATTTATAAATTGTTTGCCATATAAGAAGATATAACCCACCCATGTTGTCAAGAGGATCCGACACTCCAGGAACTGGAGTGGATTATTCTGGATTACTTGTTTAAAATAAAACAAATACTGTAAATTTATTTTATACTGATTGGACATAAAACTTTGTCTATTGTGTTACAAATTCTCTTTTAGTTGTTAAAGTAGTGCCGCCATACTTAAAGAAAAAATAACAAACATGTCTATACTTACCTGCTTTGTGCAGTGGTTTTGCGCAGAGCAGCCCAGATCCTCCTCTTCTCGGGTCCCCCGCTGGCTCTCCTGTCCCCTCCCTCCTGTTGGGTGCCCCCACAACAAGCAGATTGTTATGGGGGCAACTGCTGCTCTACGTGTCCATTCACACAGGGAGCCACGGCTCAGCAATGCCTACTCTCTCTTCTCATTGGCTCACTGGCTGTGATTGACAGCAGTGGGAGTCAATGGCTCCCACTTCTGTCTCAGCCAGTGAGAAGAGGGAGTCCCGGGATAGCCAAGACTACAGTGAACATCACTGGATCGAGAGGGGGTTTAGGTGAGTATTGGGGGGGCTGCTGCACCCAGATGATTTTTTTACCTTCATGCATAGAATGCATGAGGTTACAAAACCTTAAACCTTTAGAACCGCTTTAATGATAGGCCTGTGTAATATTTTTTGGCTATATACTTTTCATGTCAGAGCAAATATGTCAGGCCAGTGTCGGACTGCAGGGTCTTCAAGAAGGCTGTCCTGTGTCATATCTAAGCTCTGGGCTGATCACCAACTCTCCAGGCTGTTGGAAGAGGCAGGGTAAGACTAGCACACTGTTAAATATTTTTCTTTAAGCTTGTGGGCTAAACTGGAGAAAATCAATAGATACCTTCTTCCATGCTAAGCAGCTAGGATTGAGGAATCTCCTTTGTTGAATGTTCTATTTGGACAACCAAATACCAGCCTGAATACCTGAACAAGGACTGCATCTGTAGGGCTCATCATTTTCCACTTGGCTCAATCGAGTTTTAACTCTTTTCAATCTTGGTGGTGTTAAAAGCCACTCACAGCTTGAACTGAGGCCATGTATGGTTAGCTTAAAATTGTCAGTAAAAATAACTGTAGCTTTATTTCACATAATCCACACAAAAACCTTTTTTCAGGGCTTAACATATTACTGTACAACTGGCCCCCACACCCCCGATCCCCCAATATGACAGCTAGCGGGGGATCTTCTCCCCCAACTAGCTGTCACAGTTTTTAAAAAAAACACAGAATGGGAGAACTACACGTCTCGACAGCCTTTACGGCGCTATTGAATGCTGTGGTAGTTCATTGACTGTTCCTGAGAGCGTAAAAACTGGCAATCCGTACGAGGTACAAGCAGACAGATACACTGGCAGTTTTCAGGAGACCTGCATGGCACCAGCATGCAGCTGGTGCAGTGCTTTCCAGACTCCTAAAACAAAAAAAATAGTAAATGCACATTTTTTACCAGCAAAAAAATGTGCATTTATTATTTTTTGTTCAAAGGTGAACTTATCCTTTAACAGCACTGAGCTCAACAAGCGTTAGGCCCTACAGCCTGACACATCTGTTATTACAGAGAGAATACAAGTGATTAACAACTGGCCATTCCTGAGACTGAAGACTATACTGGAGTGAAGATTTAGATTAATATACATACACTGGTGACAGGTCTTTATACATTTTCTTACACAACTTCTTCAAAGCAAACCTTACATGGAAATATGCAATCCCTAAAACATAACTCAGTACAGAAGAAAACAAATTTATAAGACAATGCCAGGTGAAGAACATGGCCTTGCCCAATGTCTGTTAAGCATCGCTCATTTCTGTCTCAGTTCCAATGTGATAAAACTTCATTAATCCAGATTTTTTATTCATGTGATCTGATATATATTTCTATAAAAAAATAATCTATGGTTTGAGTAATTTTTTGTTTGCATACAAAATACAAGTGACATTGATCTGCCAAAAGCGATTTTTTTGCTCCCACTAATAAATAAACAGGTTTGCTACAGTGGAAGGTTTGGGTCACAAGAGATTACACAGAAGGGAGGTTCAAACATGTAAATGATCTTATTAGCCTATGTTAATATTTTCTATGCCTTATTTCTTTGTATAGGTAATAATTTTATCTGTAGGCTCTACTTTCTTTGGAGTGCTACACAGTGATGCTGCCCTTGATTACCTTGCTCCCAGTGCAGGATTTCTGACCTGGTTGAAAACAATGTGAATAAAGTAAAATGCAGGAAGCCAAAGGAAAAAGCATCTGTCTACCCATAGAAGTAAAATAATTGAAATATGGTGCGACAAGCCTGTATGAATGGAAAGTCACGTTAAAATTAGTATAAAGAAAACATTAAAACCACACCCAAAATCTGTGACTATTAAAATCACGTTCTAGTTTTTGCATTATGCAAGAACTGAACATCAGGAAATGCCAGGTTCCTCCGATATGCAGATATTGACTGTTCTAGGGTAAGAGCCTGGCTTCATCCTCTACCCCCTAGGCTTCACTTTTAGCAGATCACTGTGATGGATACCCTCATAGGCCAATAGTGATACATATCAGGTGGTTAGAAGTGGCTCTCCGGCAGGGAAGTTGGGTTGAATTTTGAATACCAGAGTACCTAGGGTGGTGAACTGACCAGACATTCAGACATCTTGAAGTGCCCATTAAGTAATATCTACAGCATTTCAGATACTTTCTTTTATTTCATGTTCACTTTAGGTTTAATTGGGATACTGTTTTAAAATATAATTAATACAATAAAAATAACAATATAATGCCTAGGGAGAACAGCACATAAAATATTGTGCATTTTTAGGATATGAGATCCACATAGATCATTCTGCATGTCAAATAGAAACCCAATGAAGCTAGACTTTTGGATGTGTTCTTCTACCAGCAGTGGTCCTGTAGCTATTTATTATTTTTTTCCCTGTATGTGGCTTACTGGTTAGCACTTTTACCCTACAGCAAAGTGGTACTCAGTACAAATCCTGGTCAGGACACCATCTACATGGAATTTGCATGTTTTCCCTGTGCTTGCGTGTGGGTTTGCTCTGGCATTCCAGTTTCCTCCCATGCTTTAAAAACATTATATGTTAATTAGCTCCTGCCTAAATTAGTCCTAGTATATGTATGTATATATCGCTTCTCGGCCTTTTGGCTAAGATCAAGTGTAGTATCTGTTCTTATCAGTGTCCAGTAGGGGTGCTTCACCATCATTCCTGCTTGCGGGGATGATTGGTTGTATAGTACCACTGCTGGTAGGATGGTGGTCCTAATGGTTAGTACAGGCTGGAACAGAAACCGAAGCCCCCACAGGCAGTTGGGGCCCGGGAGTAATTCCCCCTGGAAAACCAGCGGGGCCCAGTTCCTCCTGGTTTGAACGGATCTACCTTGTCTGGCCAGGGGCGGGGGAGGCAGAGAGTCCGCAGACCAGTGTCCCCTGAGTGGTCGCCTCAGGGGTGCTCTTAGTAGCACATGGGGATAGGATCCCAAGTGTGAAACGCGCACATGGTCACTGTTCCAAAACACTTTTTCTGCACTGCGCCTTTTAGGGCTAGGCCTTTTGGCTAAGTCCAGGGCAATTTTTATGCTACAGGCCTCAGGGCCTAGCCAGTGCACAATTGCACGGCCACTTTTTTATTTTTACTTATTTTTAATTTATTTTTTCTCCCACGTTTTGTCACCTTTCACTTATGTGTGTGTTTTTTTCCTCACGGATTGTAGGGTGTGGGTCCTTGGGCCTAAACCTGAAGTCTAGGGGGAGGATGTGTGGCCTTTTGGTTCCTTCCTCCCCTGTCCCTAGGGTGGCTTCTCTTTGGGAGAGCCTCCTTACCAAGTACTTGGTGGCTGGTTTAGGCTGGCCACAAGGAAAGGGGTCCGCCAGGCCTTTTGGCTAGGTGGACCACATGGGAACCTTAGTCCCTGTCAGGAGCTTCGTGCCCCGGGGGATAAGGGTAGAGGTCCTACCCCTTCGGGGGTGGACAAAGCACACCCCTAAGTGCACTTTTTTGTGTTGGTTTTGCACTAGCACCTTTTTTTTTTTTTTGTTCACTTACGGGTTTTTTGTTTTTCGCACGTTTGCGGACTTGAAAAATTTTTTTTATATATGTATATATGTGAGGTAGGGACCTTAGATTGTAAGCTCTTGAGAGCAAGGACTGATGTAAATGTATAGCATGTAAAGTTGGTAATATATTATGGTTTGTATTATTCAGATACCTGTAAAATGTATGTGTGCCATGTCATTTTATGCTGTGGCAATGTCTTAGATCAGTGCTTCTCAACCTTTTTTCAGTCAAGGCACCCTTTAAAATTATGGACAGTCCTGAGGCACCCTTTAAAATTATGGA